ATGTAAACTCCTTCACTTCTTCCATTTTTTCTCCTTTCCATCTCCACTCCCTTTTCTTCCATCTTCCTCTCTTTCTCCTAAACCTCATTATCTTTGTTTTCTTCGCGTTCAACTCCAATCTTTTTTTATCTAAATATTCTTCTAATCTTTCTATCATACTCCTCAGTTCTTCTTCCTCCTCTACCAATAACACCATATCATCCGCGTACGCCAATGTATATATCCTTTTTTCTCCTATTCTCATTCCTCCCCTTCGCACCTTTCCCATTGTTTCCTCTAAATCCGCTATTAGAATGTTAAATAGCATTGGGCTCAATGGGCAACCTTGCCTTACGCCTTTCTCTATCCAAAATTTTTCTAACTTCCTCCCCTATCTTTATCCTGCACGTTGTCTCCCTTATCACCTCCTCTACCCTTCTTCTTAATCCTTTCTTTATTCCTCTCTCTTCCATTGCCTCCATTAATTTCTCCCTGTCCACTGAATCAAGTGCTGCCCTCAAGTCTACGAACATTGCCGTCAACCTTCTATCTTTTCTTTCCAGTTGCCTATTAATTAGATAATTCATAACGTAGATGTTGTCTATCGTTCCTATTCCTCTCCTAAACCCCATCTGATTTTCTGGCACTATCCCTTTTTCCTCCATCTCCTTCCTCAATCTTTCTGTTAGTATCATCGTATATACCTTATACAGTGATGGCATCAGGGTTATTCCCCTGTAATCTTCCACCTTTTTTCCATCCCCTTTCTTCATTATCGGTACTATCACTCCCTCCTTCCATCTCTTCGGCCATCCTTCTCCTCTCCAAATCCTGTTGCAAAATTCCAGTATCCATTCCTCCACGTTCCCTCCTCCATACTTCCATACACTCTCACTCTCGTGCACGATCGGACAGATCGTCTCACTCGTCGAAAATGTAAAAAAAGAAATGCACTGCTCTCTCACGCGAACACAAAACAAAATCGCGAATTCCCGCTCGTTCGCGATCACGTCGGGGTCACCACTTTGGTCAACTCGCGCGTTACTTTTGTCTCGCGCGGCGCGATTACTTATTCGTTTTGGTACGAGTCGGGAATTAAATAACGTGAGGCAGTAATTGCAATTAACAAATATATTCTTCAAGAAAACACAGTCTTTTAAAGTCGATACATAAGTGTTAATTTGCGCGGATTAATAATGTGCGTCCGTACGCGGCGACTGTCGAAAACCGAATCTCCTCGCATGTAATATCGCTCTTCCTATTTCTTGCCTTAAAACGCTCTTCGATAAGCTTCGAGAATTTTCTATTCGTTTACTTGCTTTGTTTCTTAATCGTCTTGATATTTTCTCTATCTGTCTCGTCTGTTATGTTTATTTCTATTTATTTATGTCTCGGTGACCGTATTCGTATACGTGTTTATCGCTCGATAATTTTAGGGAAGTATGTGACGATGTAATCGCCACACTAGTATTCCTCCTCCCTCAGCTCCCTTGTTTCCTTCTTTTTTTCCACTCAACATGTTTTCTAAGCCCTTATATTCCAATTCCTATCCACTTTTCTCTCTATATTCTTCTTTTCCTCTGTTTTCCTTTTTACCTACTTAGCACCTCTCTACGTTCTCCCTCCTCTTTGCTTCTTTCTTCCTAAATTCCCTAGCTATTCCCTAGCACCTGTACTCTATTTTTCTGCACCCCGCTTTCTTTCTATATGTCTTATACACCCTGCCCACAATCAGCTGTCATCCAGCTTCCTATTTCTCTCCTTCCTACGTTCTCCGTCCAACTATTATCTCTCATACTACTCTCTCACCCTCTCACTTTTCTTCCTCTTCTTCCTCAAACTATCCTCTCCACTTTCTCTGTACTATAAACCCTCTAATCAACCTCAACTCTTCACACTCACACTCCACGTGTACACTACTTCTGCACCGGAAACGGAAATTCCATATATTTCACAATATTACGTTGCATTTCATACGGAAAATTATAATTATTTTAAAATAAAAGTTTAACAAGGCTTTGTAATATAAATATAAATTTAAAGTGTAAGACAAGCAATAAGAGCCAATCGCGGAAGACAGTGCGTTATCCCAACGAAACTAAATTTTTTTGTTAAAATTAAATATCTGTGCACAAGGCACCAAATTTTACTTGGTCACGGCCAAGATTTAAAATTGGAATAATCTCTACAAGAGATTTATTTCATACATCCCCTCTTCCAAATATAGATTCATTTATTTCCTTAGGGGGAAGAGGGGATGTATGGAATTAAATCTCTTGTAGAGATTCTTCCAATTTAAATCTTGGCCGTGACCAAGTAAAATTTGGTGCCTTGTGCACAGATATTTAATTCTAACGAAAAAATTTAGTTTCGTTGGGATAACGCACTGTCTTCCGCGATTGGCTCTTATTGCCTGTCTTACATTTTAAATTTATATTACAGAGCCTTGTTAAACTCTTAACTTATACACGCTGGCTATGGCGTTTACTTATCAACATTATTATATATATAGCAGAGAAAAGTATAGAATCGAAAGGATTTGAATAGCTCAGTTGGAAGAGCAGTCGCCCGGCAAGCGAAAGGTCTCGGGTTCGATTCCCGATTCAACGACTTTCGGATCTATATTTTTTTCTTGCATTTACCAGGTGTATGCATAAGTTCTTTTCGGTTTAACTAAGAGATGGTGCCAGCGAAAAGTACGCGGCGCATTAATTTAAAACATACGTCATTTTGTTCGTCTAATATTAAACTAAAAACACACACAAGTTGAGTCCGCCAAAAATTAGCGTCTTTGTTTTATCGCTCAATGATCATGTCGAGTTTTGTGCCTGAAAAAGAACATTTGCGGCACGCATTGCTTTTTTTATTTAATCGAAAGAAAAAACTGTTGAAAGTCATCGTTTGCTGGTAGAAACATATGGTGAACACGCTCCATCAATTAGAATATGCGAGACATGATTTCGACAATTTAAAAGTGATGATTTCAATGTGAAAGACAATGAGCGCTCTGGTAGACCACAAAAGTGTGAAGACGAACAATTGCAGGAGTTATTAGATGATGACCCAACTCAAACTCAACAGCAATTGGCAGAAGCATTAAATGTCACAAGAAACAATCAGCAGACGATCGAAATGGGCCAGAAGACATGGCAAAGTGATTTTGTTACACGATAATGCGCCGTTTCACACAGCAAAACCAGTAAAAGACATCGCTTGGAACCAGTGAAATCGCTAGGATGGGATATTCTTCCGCACCCGCCGTACTCTCCAGACCTGGCGCCGTCTGATTATCATCTCTTCGCATCAATGGGGCACGCGCTCGCAGAGCAGCACTTCAGCAATTTCGAGGAAGTTGGAAAATGGCTCGACAAATGGTTTGCCGTAAAAGACAAGCAGTTTTTCTGGCGTGGTATTCATCAATTACCTGAAAGATGGGCGAAATGTGTAGAAACCGATGGCCAATATTTTGAATAAAAAGAAAATTAATTTCCCTTGAAAATTACGTGTTTTTTTTACCAAAAAACCGGAAAAAACTTATGCATACACCTGGTATTTATTTATTTCCGTAGGGGGATTAAAGAATTATTGAAATTAAATCTCAAATATGAGATTATTTCTAATTTAAAAAATCTTGGCCGTGACCAAGTAAAATTTGGTGTCTTGTGCACAGATATTTAATTCTAACGAAAAATTTAGTTTCGTTGGGATAACGCACTGTCTTCCGCAATTGGCTCTTATTGCCTGTCTTACACTTTAAATTTATTTTAAAATATATCCAGTTATTTTTCAATAACTTTCATTTCATTTAAAACTGAAAATATATTATTAAAAAGTTTTGAAATATTAAAAAGTATACTTTCTTATTTAAATATTAATGATATAATAATGAAACAGAGTCAATTGAGAGATTTTCTAATACATTTTAGTAAAATATTTCCATAAAAGTTTGCATTCTGATTTCATTGCGCGAGGTCGGTAAAGCATGCCCCTGCCGATCGGCGGATAGGCAACCCGACTTACTGATCTGTAGGTTGCGGAAGCACCCTGTACATGCAGGATACGATCAATAACTTAATGGATAAAAGAGTGATTGTAAAAGTGAATCCATGCAGAAATCAATTCCACATACTTTTTGGTTCCCAAAGCTAATAGAAAGCAGAGGTTCGTATTAAATCTGAAACAATTAAATAAGTTTATTGTTACGGAACACTTTAAAATGGAAGATATTAGAACAGCGATAAAGTTATTGCCACGAAGAAGTTATATGGCAGCCTTAGACTTAAAAGATGCATATTTTTTAATATTAATACATAAAAACAGTCGTAAATACTTATGTTGCGTAATGATCACGCTGAGGGCATGTGCTCGCCACACGTGTCTCTGGAAGGAGTGCGTCAGCGACGATGTGGTCGAAAAGAATTTTGACTCTTCTTCTTTCACAATATTTATTTGCCTTGGTTAGAATACAAGCTAGTTTCGTGCACTTAAGGGTAACTGAAAGCGTTATTGCGGGTAAAAATATAATGGACGCCTTTGTTTTCGCAAAAACGTGTCGCCTCAAGCTTGCGTCCGCTTCTCTCCGCGAACGAGTCAGCTCTGGCTCGCTCTCCCGAGTGGGGGGCTCCTAGGCACGCCCCATGCCGAGTATTACTATGCGCGAAAAGAGCGGTCCCAAATTCGCGCGCAAAAGACAAATTAAAATGTTTCGTTTTTTACGAAACAACGCCGCCCGCCTTGAAAGAACTGACTTTCAAAATAAACATAAAATAAATTGCTCTTTGGTTTACATGACTATGCGTTCCTTAAAGAATGGAAAACCGCAACTTACAAATAAATTGAATAATATTGCTTGTAGATACTCAGTAGTTATCTTAAGATAAACAGTCGTAGACGTGGTAAACGCAAACAAAATACATAAATGAACAAGGTATATATCGATAAAATGAATACAAATATAATAATTTTAACAATAGAATAATTTGAACGAAGTTAACAAGTCGCGTCCAACGACTCCATGGGAACTATTGCGAGCTAGACAAAGATCGCGTAAAAGAACCTTTGGTGGTTCTAACAGTCGCAGTGCGCGGAATCCCGTCTGCTCCGACGTGAATTTCTGTCACGCGCCCTAGCAGCCAATGCAACGGAGCGAAGTTTGGCTGTTTTAAAAGCACTATTTGATCTGGTTGCAATTGAGGACCCTTATCAGACTTCCACTTCGAGCGGGATTGTAGTGAATTTAAATATTCACAGCTCCACCTGCGCCAAAAGTGTTGTCTGAGCTGCTCCACTCGCTCCCATCGTACCAAGCGATTCTCGTTTACATCACCTAGGTCGGGACAAGGGGAACTATTCATAGCGGCGCCAATCAGGAAGTGACTTATATAAGAAAGATCATTTGGATCTGTGCTTAACGCGGTGATAGGACGTGAGTTCAAAATTGCTTCTATTTCGCAGAGAATTGTTTGCATCTCCTCAAACGTTAAATGAGCGTTACCAATAACGCGCGTCATATGGTATTTCGCAGATTTCACCGCTGCTTCCCATAAACCCCCGCAGTGTGGCGAGTGAGGAGGAATGAAGTTCCAGCTAATTTGTTGATCGCGAAGGAATTGTTTTACATCGTCCTGCGTTCGGTCTTTATTTAGAAATTCAAAGAATTCCTTAAGCTGATTTTGAGCGCCGACGAAGGTAGTTCCGTTATCGGAATACATGTGAGATGGTTTCCCCCTACGCAATATGAACCGCTTGAAAGCGGCTATAAATGTTTCAGTGGTTAGATCATTTACTACTTCTAAGTGTATCGCCTTAGTCGCAAAACAAACAAAAAGGGATATGTATGCCTTATAGTTTCGCGCATTTCGACGTTTATTCTCCTTTAATATTATAGGGCTCGCGTAATCAACTCCACAATGCGAGAATGGCTTCAAAACTGTTACGCGACCCGCGGGCAAGGAAGTCATTAAAGCTTCAGAAAACGTAGGCTTGACCTTAAAACATTTTACACAACCTAAAATGATTTTACGTGCAGCGGATCTCAAAGATAGAGGCCAGAACTGCTGTCTGACGGCAGCCATATTAGCTTGGGTTCCTGCATGCATGTTGCGTATATGCTCTCGCATTATTATTCGTTTTGTTAATTGTTGATCACGAGGTAAAAGTATAGGATGACATGCCGCGAAAGACAAATTTGAATTCTTCAATCTGCCCCCTACATAAACTAATCCTTGTTTGTCCATAAACGGAGACAAAGATAAAATCTTGCTAGATGGATTGATAGTTTTGCCGTTGGTTAACGCCTTGCATTCTTTGGAAAAGGAGCGCCGTTGAATTAGCTTACACATCAGATGCAATGCCGCTGAAGTTTCTTCATGCGATATGAAACATGTCTGTTGCCTTGGGTTGTCTTTACAAATCTCAAGCAGTAAGCTAAAATACGACAGGCCTTGTTCAGGTTGGAATACTTGCTTAACAATTTGTCGACTATGTCACAATCGACAATAGTGGTGGTAGTGAACACCTTTCGCATTTCAGGAGCGTCCTTGCCCAGCTGAGAAAAATCATTGCTTGGCCAGTGTTCTTGATCAAGCTGAAGGAAGTTTGGTCCATGCCACCAAGTACTAGCGTTGATTAAATCACGAGGATTGAATCCTCGTGACAGCATGTCGGCTGGATTCTGAGCTGACGGTACATGACGCCAGCATTTTGACCCGGTTAATCGCTGGATTTCTCCCACTTGATTGGCAACAAAACAGCCCATTTGCGAGATGGCGATGCTATCCAATTCGAAGTGATGGTTGAATCCGACCAGAGGTATATTTAGATGTCCAACATATCTATCGCCGCTTGGATCTTCTCGATGAGACGTGCCAATAGCAGGGCCGCCAAAAGTTCTAGACGCGGTAGCGATATGGCCTTCAAAGGCGCCACGCGGGATTTAGAACAGAGCAATTCCGCACGATAATTGCTGAGATTCTTTCCCGTTCTAATGTATACGCAGGCTCCGTAGGCGTGTTGGCTCGCATCGCAGAATCCATGTATCTGGATGGCCTGTGAATTGGCGTCGAACTTGACTCGACGTGGTATTGTTAATTGATTTAATTCCACCAGCTGCGACTTGATCGTTGACCAACGAGTATGTATGTGCAACGGCGGAGATTCATCCCACTGTACGTCCAGTTTCTAAAGGTCCTGAAGTATTAATTTGGCGATAACTATCGTAGGACCAATGAGACCTAAGGAATCAAACAACATAGAGACCTCAGATAATATAGTTCGCTTTGATACGGCCTTGTGTTCTGCATAGGGCGTGTATGAAAAATGAAATGTGTCAGCGTCTTGATTCCATTGTATCCCTAGAATATGAGAGATAGTTTTATCCTCGATAGGGATCGGCTTATCGCTTTGGTTATCAAGCGAATCTAATAACTGTGGGTGAGTTGAAGCCCACTTGCTGAGCTCGAACGATCCCAGCTTCAATAATTGTATTATTTCATCCCAAATCGATTTGGTCTTCTGGATGCTGTCTGCTCTAGTGAGTATGTCGTCGACGTAGAAATCGTGTAGAAAGTGTGTCGACCCAACTGGGAATTTTAATGTGTGCCGCTCAGCCAAATCCTTTAAACATCTTGTGGCCAAGAAGGATGCCGAGGACGTTTCGTAGGTGACTGTAATTAGTTTATAAATATTAACATCTAGAAAAGGGTCATCTCGTCACAATATCCTTTGCAGACGCGTTTGCGTTGGATGTATTAGTACTTGTCTGTACATTTTTACAATCTCAGTTACTACACGAATGTACGGAATCGCAGTAAGATTGACGTTAAATCTTGTTGCACAACCGGGCCGACGCTTAAGGCATTGTTTAATGACACGCCTGATGCGCTCTTGCATGAAGCGTAAAAAACGACGCGAATCTTCGACGATGGTTCTGAGCCTTTGAACACGCAATGGTGTGGCAAATAATAAGACTGCTCGTGTTCGTTCGGCAATTCGTTTACTTGCTTCATATGGCCTAGAGATAAATACTCGGAAATGAACCGTGCATATTGTTCTTTTAGTGCGGGCTCTCGACAAAAGCGTTTTTCCAAGTTTTGCAAGCGTTTCAAGGCTATGCTCTTTGAGTCTCCAAGCTGATTGATCAATGACTCGTTAACTGGAACTTTGACTGTGTATCTACCATAAGAGTCTTGAGAAGTGTTAGCCAAAAAATGATCCTCACACAATGCTTCTGCCTTGATGTGCTCGGCAACAATACGAGGGTCCTCTACATCCCAAAACTTTGATAATTGGTCATGCAGTTGATTGTTAGTGAAAGTTGCGTGAAAAGATTGTACGTTATGCGTGGTCATTGGTAGATTATTTAAACGACCAGCCAGTATCCAACCGAATTGCGTCTTTTGCAATGTCGGGTGTTCGGAGGAGGCCCTGATTTGTCCCACGCATAATAATTTCAAAAATACCTCGGCTCCAATCAATATATCAATGCTAGACGAAATGTCGAACTCCGGATCTGCTAATTTGATGTTGCGAGGAAGGTTATATGCTTCTCGCTTAATAGTGAAAGCCGGAAGGTCACCTGTGATTCGATCTGTAACAATACAGTCAATTGTAACGGAGTATGAGGTGTACCGAAATTGTAACTTTACCCTGACTATGTGAGTAGATTTTGTAGCCGTATCACCTATGCCCGTTATAGAAATATTTAGAGGTCGAGGCTGTAATCCGAGTAGCTTCATACATTTGTTGAGATAAAGTTTGCCTGAGACCCATTGTCCAATAGCACACGGCAAGTTCTTGTTGATCCATTGGCGTGGGAAGCGTTAATTACTGCGGTTGAGAGCATGATGTGATTTTTAATGTTGTTGCTGTAGGCGTGCGTCACCAGCGTCGTCGATGAGCTTACGGAATTTGTCTTTTTGGCCTTAGTTGATTCGACTTCCTGTATTCCGCTTGCATTGTTTGCCAAATGTAGTAACGTGTTGTGTTTGGCGTCACATATCCTGCAACCCTTTGATGTGCATTTGGCGGACGCATGAGACGAAGAACGCATGCAATTGCCGCAAATTTTTCGATTGCGAATCTCCGTTATCCTCTGCGGTACTGATAATGCTAAAAAATCTTTGCAATAATATATGGCGTGATCGCCATTACAAAAATTACATTTAGGCTTGACCGTCGCGACACATGAGGCTTGACGCTTTAAACTGGACTGCTTATTAACGTTTTTGTTGCACAAAGAAATTGTTTTTCCCGTGGCCTCAAGCATTTGACATCGACGAATTATGAAATCGTTAAATTTCTCGAACGTAGGAGGGTTTGTACCGGTCAGTGACGATTGCCACTCTCGCATTGTGAGTGTATCTAATTTGGAGCTTAAAACATGCACGATTAAGTCGTCCCAATGTAAAGTAGGACGCCCGAGGGCTTCCAATGCTTTGATGTGTTTAGTCGCTCCGTCAGCGATATGTTGCAAATCAACTAAATTTTCTTTAGGCATAGATGGCAGGTCCATGATTGCCTTTACATGAGTTTGTACGACAACACATTTATTATCGTAGCGCTTCTTTAAAAGATTTCACGCGATATCATAATTTAAATCGTTAATTTCTAAAGAGTCTACGACACTGCTCGCATCACCGGTTAGCGAAGATTTCAAATATTGTAATTTTTGTATATTATTTAGCGTTCGATTGGAATGTATAATAGAATTGAAAGAATCGTGAAAGGGAAACCACTCATCGTATTTTCCGGAAAATGTCGGCAAATTTAGTTTGGGCAACCGAACATTGAAATGAGTTTCTACCGCGTCAGAAGCGCGTGATGAAGAACGTGAACCTTCTGTTAAGTTCGGTAATGCGGGTTTAATGAGCTCCCGCATTTTCCGGATAACGAAAAAAATGTCTCCTCAAAATTGTCACGATTACTTGCTTCATTTCCGTCGAGTGACTCAATTTGCGTTTGTACGTCATTGTAATCCGACCAATATTCGTTTAATTTATTTTTACGCTCTTCAAGTTGAGCTACGATAGGCGGCCGCGTAACGGAAACAATGGCATCTACGTACGTCTTGACTCGCGTGCATGAAGTCTGATGGTCGCGCGCTTTCTTTGAGCGATGCGATATCAGTCATATTGAATTATGAGTTTATTTGTTAATACGAAATGATACGGGTTGGCGCCGCTAAAAAATAATCACTCTTACCGCAATGTTTACACGTAACGCGATCCCAAGGAAGCCGCTTTGATGTGCTGCTCTCGCTGCGTTGGTGCTCGTGCCTGCAGTCTCGTTGTCTGGGATGAATTTCTGGATGCCGTCGATAATTTCCGGATGTAGGAAGAGGCCGCCCGATTGCGTCGATAACGTCAGTTAGCCGTTCGGAAAAATCGTGATATAGCGAGATCGCCGCAATGTCTACACGTGACGCGATCTCGAGGAAGCTGCCTTGATGTGTCGGTCTCGCTGCGTCACTAGTCATGTTTGCAGTCTGGTAGTCCAGAATAAATTTCTGGATGCCGTTGATGATTTCTTCCAAAATATTTTAAGCTGCCTGATTGCGTGAATGATATCAGCCAGCCGTTCGGAAGATCGTACTGCAGTAGATGTCGCCTGTCGCGGCGATGTAATTGTTTGATACCCCTGTTGCGATACCGAAAGCTTACAGTGCGTTGGAGAATTTCGCCCGTTTGATTCCCGGATTCTTCCACACTTTTCTCCGAAGCACAGATACAACAGATAATAAATCCGGCTCGAAGGACCAATTTTGTTGCGTAATGATTACGCTGAGGGCATATGCCCGCCATACGTGTCTCTGGAAGGAGTGCGTCAGCAATGATGTGGTTGAAAAAAATTTTGACTTTTCTTCTTTCACAATATTTATTGTCTCGGTAGAATACAAGCTAGTTTCGTGCATTTAAGGGTAACTGAAAGCGTTATCGCGGGTAAAAATATAATGGACGCCTTTGTTCTCGCGAAAACGTGTCGCTTCCTCGACTTGCGTCCGCTTCTCTCCGCGATCGAGTCAGCTCTGGCTCGCTCTCCCGAGGGGGGGGGGGGTTCCTGGGCAGCCCCATGCGAGTATTACTACACGCAAAAGGCGCGGTCCCAACTTCGCGCGCGAAGGACAATTAAAATGAATCGTTTTTTACGATACAACTTACGATTTAGATGGAGAGGACAAATCTATGAGTGGTCCTGTGTGCTGTTTGGACTCAGTGTGGCGCCCTGGTTATATACAAAGATAATAAAACCAGTGGTAAAGTATTGAGAGAAAGAGGTTTATCATCAGCTGTTATTTAGACGACTGGTTATGCTTTGGCAAGACAAAGGAAAAATGTGCAAGGAATGGTCTAGAGCACAAAGCAAGCGCCTGCAAGAGTTAGGATTCCTGATTAACAAAGAAAAGAGTTGCCTAGTGCCAAGCACCGGGTATCAGTTTTTAGTATTTATCCTGGACTCTTGAAAGAGGCAATCAAATTACAAAAGCTAAACGTGAACAAATAACCCATCG